GCGCGCCTGCTGGGCTAGCTGGCTGGCTGGCTGGCCGGCCGTCCGCCCTCCGGTCGGCGGGTCGGCCCCAGGCCCTCCCCGTCCCCGCGGTCTCTGACTCCTGGGCCCGGTTGTCCGTATTTATAGGTGCGCGCGCCCCGCGCTCGCGCTCCGAATCGCTCTTTGCAATAACACGGTATCACGTGTGGGGAATGAAACCTGGGAGGAAAACAAAGCCGCAGGCAGCGGCCGCGGAAGCAGGCAGCTGGAGGCGAAGGGACCCGCGGAGGAGGAAGGGAAAGCGGGGTGGGGGATCGGCTGGGAGTCTACTGCTAGGAGAGTTGGTGGCGTCCGGGGTGCGTGGGAGCCAAGTGCGAGAGGCAAGCACGTTTCTCCTGCGCGCTCGGTCCGGGAATGGGGATGTGAATAGAACCCCGTGAGTCACGGAGTGGGGTGTGTTCCCGGGAGAGTAGTGGGTCTGCAGGACAGTTTTTTGGGGCGACTAAGAGATTTGACTGGCGAACGAGTTAACTGGACCCCGAGAAATACAGGTCCTTATTAATAGTTACACGAGTGGGTCGACAGCCTCTTCGTGGACAGCCCCACCTCAAAGCTAGCGCTAACCTTCGAGGTTGGGTCTCATTCATTCGCAGGCCGAGGATGCAGCCCTTGAGATAAAGGCAAGCTCGGCGTGCATTGGAGCCCAGGCGCGTTAGCAGTGTGGCCAGATGAGTTTATATATCGATGGTGCTGTCACTTTTCATTTTTCTCTATCAAAAGGCAACATAAATTTTTACTTTGGCGCTGAAATGTGCTTCGTTTTCTATGAAGCGCGAAGTGGGCTAAGATGACCTCACACCCTTCCCCCTTGTCACTTTGGGTTTTGGGGATTATGATCTCTTTTTTTTTTTTTTCCGCCGCCATAAACTTAGGCCATCATGGACAGGTACTTTATGTCACTGATTTCATAAACTTCTCTTTTGCACCTATCATGTCTTCCGTAAAGATGAGTTCGTGCCCAGGAACGCGATGACCCTTTCAGAACTGCGACTCTGCCTCAGGGAGGGGTCGCAGAGTGCCCCAGCCCCACCCTAACAAATGCCTGTCCTGCCTGGGGGAAGGCGTTCACAAGGGGCATCAGAAAACGTGTGCTGGGTTTTACCTGCATGAATTTGGGTGACTTAGCAAATGCAATAAGGAAAAATTGGGACGCTGAATTAAGCTCTGTGACACCTAAAAAACCTCGCTACACTTTTCCGAGGGAGAAGCAATGTGGTTAAGATCAACGGATTAATTTAAGGTTTAAATTTAGCCCTGGGGCTAATGGGTAAGTCTGCATGGAAATTCCACTCCATTTCAAGTTCAGGAAAGTAAACCGAGTAATGGAGAGCAAATAAACCCAGTGCTAAGATGTGCAGCCAGCTCACTGGGTGAGATATGAGTGGATATCAGGTTACATTTAGGCAGGACAAACATGGACCACAACCGCTTAAATGAATACTTGGTGTTCATATTTTATTATATGCCACTTTTAGGCCTTTTGAAAAAGTGGAGCCTGGTGTCTATTTACAGCAGCCTTACAGCCTCTAAGTCAAAACTTTATCAGCTCTGTGAAATTTAATCAGGATTTTAATTACTTTGTTTAACTAACTACCTTGAAACTTCCAAGCCGCTTTGTTACAATTGAGTTAATTTACATGACCACTGGCCCTGAAAGGTTGTGCTGGAAGGCAGTGTTAAATGAAAGACTTCAAGACTCTGCTCATTTACAAGAAAAAAAAAATTGGATTTTATTTTCCTATTACAAAAGTGATAAATGTTAATTGCAGAACAGTTAGAGAATAAGATAAGCAATGAAAAGAAAGTAAGCATCACTGAAAATCTAATCTTCTATAGAAATAACTCTTGAAATTTCAGTTTCTGTCCCGTGTGTCTTTTTAAACAAAAGTGTAATCATGCTGTTTGTATCTTGTGGTTTTTGTTTATTATTTTGTGATCATCTTTCCATTTAGAATATTCTTCTGGAGCATCATTTTAATGACTGATGACTGCATAGTATTCAATATGATGGAGATAATTTATTAAACTTAGGTGGTTTTCACTATACTGTTAAAAGCAGAGTGGTGATGCCATCCTTTGTTTTCCTAAATCTTAGCTACCATTCAATATTAGTTTCTTGGGATAAATAGTTAGATGCTAGGGCAAATAGCATATCATGTTTTTAAGGCTTTCCATCAAAAAAGATTGTCCCAGTTTACATTCCCACCCAGCCATGTCTGAAATCTCCTGCTTCCTCACATTCTTGCCAGCACAACTTTTTTGCATCGACATCTATTTCTTTGCCCATTTGATAGAACTCTTTGCCTATTTTAAGTCTCAAGTATACAAACTAATTTCAAATATTTATCACAGCATGAAACAAGAATCAACATCTATTTAACCTCCAAACTGCTCCTTTATGGGAATCATGACAGATATGATTTATTATTACCTACTGTATGCCAGCCACATAAATATTTCTAATCCTTATGACTACCCTGCAGGGAAGGCATTCTCATCAATATTTTACAGATGAGCCTCAGAAAAATGAAATAATTTGCCCAAGTTCATATAGCTTTTCTGTGGCTGCAGCAGTTTGCAAACCTAGGTCTGACTCCAAGACCCATGTATGTTCTCGCACCCCCTGCTGGTGAGGATGTTTTATGGGATGGGATTGTCTCCAGATTTAATCTTACATTCATTATTGAGAGTCAACAATAAGGGAAATAATACAAGCTTTGGAATAAGAGGATCTGGATTTCAAGAGGAAGTCACATAACCTCTCCGAGCCAGTTTCCTCTGTGGGTTATTATCAGGTACAAAAAAGACTGCAGAAAGAAGCATTTCATAAACCTTAAAGTACTTTAAAAAAAAGTCAGTGGTTATTTATACCATTCTAACCTATTTATTTCATGGATTATTCCAAATTCACTTAACTTTCTGTCTAGTCATTCATTGATCAAGTATAACTTAGCATCTTTTATGTACATAGCACCCTCTTGCTACAAAAGGGGAAAAAGTCCACGTGCCCCATACTAAAAAAACATTGGAAAACAAAAGCTCATGATACATTTAAATAAAATTAAATAAAAATGCAAGACAGAGCAACATTAATGCTGAAATGAGCAAACTGTAAATGTTGTCAGCTTTGAAAAAGAGCTTTTGATTTGCTGTGAGGCCTGTGGGGGAGGCTTCTTGCGAGAGCCAGGACTTGAGCTGACCTGGGAGAAGAAGGTGGGAGGGAGGAGGATGTTTCCGGAAGAGGAAATTTTTTGCATACAATTCCTTGCAGATTGCAGGCAAAGAGGAAGAGAATTTAGAATGTAATTCTTCTACCAAGTTTTTCTTTTCATTCATTTTCCTATTACCTCATCCAAGCACCCATTCTGAAAACTTTTTTTGCATGCATGAACCCGAAATGCATGGACTGTTTTGATTGAAACATACTAGGTTGTCACTTAAAAATTAAAGGAAGAAAAAGAACCTACAAGTAATTGCTCACCCTTTAAAAAAAATACTTTAACGGAACAAAAAGTCTGCAAATTAGCTTATAGATGACAGTGAATATCCCTCATAACAGAAGGAGTCTGATACAGTGGAAATAACAAGGCTTTAGCGTCAGACATAATGGGGTTCGAATGCCAGCTCAGGTCCTTACGAGCTTGTGACCTTTGGGTTACAAACTTACGTGCCTCAGTTGCCTCATCTGTAAAGGTGGGTACAGCAGTCAATATTTTACCTTGCAGAGTTGTGAGGATTCGCAAAAACAAATTATGTAACTAGCAGGGTATTTGGCATTTGGTGGGTAGCTGTTATTAGAAAAATGCAAATTATTGAAGGTGCATATGACAAAGGCCAGGATGTTTTAGGTTCTAGATTGTTGTAGTTTTCACTGGTCCTGCCAGTCAGGAAGAACCACATAAAAATGGCGTGGCAGAGGCATCTGGCCTCCTTGTCTAACTTCACAAGGGAGAAGGAGAATCAAGATCAACAGCCCAAGGCTGATTCCTATGAGGAGGCAGAGGTCAGACATACCTCCTTTCTCCAACCTTTTTACCAATTCTGACACCAGCCCTCCCTCCCATGGCACTTTCTACTTCTCTGCTGGGTTTGATAATTCCTTGCAATGGCCACACAGAACTCACAGACCATACTCATAGTTATGGTGTTTATTAGGGAAATAACAGATTACAATTCAGGTTCAGGAATGCTCAGGATACAGTTCTTCATTCAAGACAGTCTCTTCTCAGCTGTGCCTGAAGGCAGGGTTCTCTCTGGCCCTCTGCCTCTCCCCTGCTCAGGCAAGTGTTACAAAGCGCTTTTAGGTTGCTGATAAATGCCCTGAGGCCAATAAGCCTCCTCTGGAAGGTGCTCAGCTCTAGCTGTGTGGGTCAGCAAACCTAGCTCCACCAAGTGCCCAGAGGCACCCTACTCCACCAGCAAGCCTTCTGCCCAAAGGTGCTCAGTTTTCTTGCTCTGTGGACTGGGAAGCGTACCGTGCTGTCTCCTGCCAGTCTCCTGTGGTCTCCTGACAGTCTCCTGTGGTCTCCTACCTCTGCTTTCGGTGTTTCTCTGCTGCCGTTTCTCACCATCTTTTCTGTTACAGCTCTCTCACTCAGTCTCCTGGTTCCAGGAGCGTCTCAGCACAGGGATCCTG